CAAATATTAAACACAATGTACATGCTAAAGACTCGTAACAATGAAGGCCCAGTCAGAGTGATGGAAAGGATCCATCAGAATGTAAATGAGTGGAAAATGCCCATATATCTTTGGTACAAAGAAGAACCAGCAAAACAAATAGAGCATCTTTAAGACAGAATTGTATGCCTATTCATCACATACAAGAGTTTGGGGTTTGCCAGGGGTGTTTCAAGTTATTAGTGATTTAGCTTCCGTCACATACAAGCCGTCATCCATTTGCAAGCATATCATCCCTGCAGACATTACAAATAAGCAGCATATAATGTATGAAAAGATTGAACAAGTGCACCCCATTAAAGCTTCGTGAAGATTCAAGACATCAGGCTCTCCCGGTCATGATCTGATGCCTGTCAGTTAGTGGCATGTGCATGTATGTGTGCACACCATTTCACTTTGGTCCTTGGGAATCACTACACTTATTTCCAGCCCCATTTAAAATCTGCAGCTAAATGTGATTTGATATGTATCCTGAAATGGAAGATGATTGGAATGAGATTGCTTCCTGTGCTCCCTGTTACCCATCTCTCGTTTCACACCTCAACTTTAAATGACATTGTCAAGAGTGTTTTTCAGTTTCAAGCCACTGAGCTGTCTCTGCATAAAGAATATAATTAGACCCATTATTTTACATTGGTCAGATCGTGGTTTTTATTTAAATATATAAAATCATCTTAAAGCCTTATCTTTCATTGATAACACATATTTCCAATTTGTCAAAAAGCTAGCGTAACACTTGGCTGAATAATCTTTAATGGTGAATAAGTTCCATTGTTTGTGTGTAGGCTCACGGCTTTTCAAACATTCATCCAAACATTTAAATTTGGCACGAAAGCAGAATTCACCCAACTTATTTTACAAAGTGCATTTTATTTATTTTATTGTGAATGATTCACCAATGCATATTTTATTTTGACCTCATAATTTTAATTAAAATATCTCTGTTTTCCAGTGAAACAGCATATGTTTGTTTAAAGTACCATTTATTTTAAAGAAAAGTATTTTTTCTAACTGTCACTTTGTATTACATTAAATGTTTTTATGCAGTATATTTGATGTAGCTAGTACACAGAAATTCATGTTTACATAAGAAATTAACATTAAATTTGATCTCCTTTTTTAATTGTTTACATTAATATTTCCTGTTTCTCAGGATTTTTTCTTGTAAAAAAAGACAAATTTCTCTCTCATATCTGCTAGAGTTTTGGATCTCAACAATGATTGATTTTATCAAGTGTGCCCAGATTTCATATGATCAAAAATGAGAGTTTTCAATTTAAAATCTTCGTCTCTTCACCAGGGGTGCACTGCAGTGTTATGCCTTTTTTTTTTTTTTTTGCTAACCTTGGAGGATTTTATCAAGTGTGCCCAGATTTCATATGATCAAAAATGAGAGTTTTCAATTTAAAATCTTCGTCTCTTCACCAGGGGTGCACTGCAGTGTTATGCCTTTTTTTTTTTTTTTTGCTAACCTTGGAGGCTTGCTTTTAAGGGGCTCTGCCTGAAGACCTTGATTAGCTGGTTCAGGTGTCTTAAATTAGGGCTGGAGGACTGCCCTGACTTTAGAGAGATATATCTTACAAGTTTATATAAAATGTATGTAAAATTTGAAACAAGTTCAGAAGAGTTTTCTCTGTAGACATAAAATAACTTAGGAAACTTTCACACTAACACTTGTGGTGCACACCCAAGTTTGTCGAATAATGTCAACGCACCCGCAAACTCTGGTATGGTTCATTTCTGATGTGAACGTAGTCGTACCAAATCACCGAAGTGATGAAAAATAATTTATATCTCATTTCCGCTTGCCTTTCCGAATTCATTTGAACCTTTGCATTACATTCGTGACAAAAATACGCATGTGCCTTTCTGTGTTGGTGCCAATATGTGCCATTCTGTGTTAAGACCATGTAAAATGCACAGCAACTAGTTTTAGAGTTTCTATTTTTTTTTATGTGTTGCCTTTAAACCTCTGAACTTGGAAAGGTCACCACGCTTCAAGCCTCGTGTCAAAGTTGTGAGATTATATGTGCCATTTTAAGACACAGGCTGTCATGCTCAGTCAAGAGTAATAAATCCTTGTGTCTCATTAAACTAATCCTTCCTTAAATGCACGAGTGGCCTCTTTAATGTATCACTTCATGCATATTTTTAACATGTTGCTCTTCCCTCTCATTTTTTTCTAAGATCACATCATTTTTTTCACATTCACCCTAAATGGAAGACTGTCAGAAATGAAAGATTAAGCAGCACTTCAAGCAGGAAAACTCAGGCTTAGCAACTTTCCTGAACGCAAGCTGTCAAATTGGCCCTCTCTCTTCTGCACATCGTTTTTCCGATATTTTCTCATTCTTCCATTCCCTTCTCTGAGGACGATTCTTGATTGACGGGCTGAAGTGCTGGCGCAAGATGAAGTATTTTGAGCTAAGGGTCTTTTGCGCTGCAGTTCAGACAGAGAGCAAAGCTTTGACTCTGATAAAAGGAAGTGATGTGTTTCCCTGTTGTTCAGGGCTTCATAGAAGCCACTTGACTCCTGCTCCTGTCATTGAGCGATCGAGCCAAACGTGGCACAGCACCATCACAATGCTCTGGAAGCTTTGCGTCAAATCAAATCAACTGAAATGCTGAAAGCTTTCAGTAGAGATGGCACTGAATCTGATGATTGCATTGTTGTCTTTGCAGTGTTCAACCTTAGTCCTATAAAGCCTTCTGTATCAGATTTGATAGGCAAATTTCTAAGGCCTCTAAATTCCAATGATCCAATTCCAATGATCAAAACATTGTGGAAAAACCTGTTTTACACTATCTAATACATGCTCTCTGTCATCGGATTGATAGTTTATACTTTTTAGCAATTTTTTTTGTATAATTTTGAAAAAAAAAAAAAGCCCCCTTCAGGTCATGGTACAGTACATCTGTCTTTTTGCTGTGAAATCTTTACTGATTTTTATTTGGAAATATTATTAATATTTCAAGATGAACACTTACTGGATTTATGCAACTCAAATTTACTTGACTGTCCTTTTTTTGTTTTTAAAATAAAAATCATGTTAAAATATGAGGATATCCTCAAATCAGGTTTTTGAGGAATGTTTATTTGTACATCTCTCAGTTATAATTTATTACATTGCATTATATGTAATGAGCTTTGATTATAAAACTAGGCACTTAAATATCATCTTAACTGAGACATTATTGAGAGATTCAAAGTGACAATATTTATATAATAATATTCATAATTATATTTATATTATTTATGCCAGTAGTCTTCTACAAAATTATAAAGATCTTATTGATTCACATTATAAGCTGTCAAAGTTTCATCTTACTTTTTGGCCATATAAATATCAGCTTCTGCAACAAATCGATTTTTACATCTGAATAAAATCGAGGCGTACTTAGGTATATTTATTTATTAGCCATAAAAGCCTGATTTATTAAACATGATACTGAAAAAAAAATATATATATATATGCAAAGTATTATACATATATATAATATATATATTTATATATGTATGTGTGTGTGTGTGTGTGTGTGTGTGTGTGTGTGTATGTATTGTCTATAGACAGTATATATATATATATATATATATATTGTCTAAAGGTTCAATAAACTGTTCCATTTCAGAAAAATGAATTTTTCTCAATTTAATTTTCTCTGTCAGGCTTTCCAGGGTTAAAAGAAAAAGACAATATGTTTTGCTTGGTGAGATTATACGGTATGTCATTTGTGTGGGGTCTCTGAGGTGTATTTGTTCTAATGCAAAAGGATCGGCCCAGAGGAATTTTCCTTTTTGATATTGAATGTGTTTGGTTCAACGTTTTTGACAGCCTCAGCCTCCAACATTTCTTTGAAGCTTTGATCTTGCATACTTCTGTGTCATCTCACTCATCGACTCAACATCAAGCGAACACTCCACAGCAAAAGTAGGAATTGACGTCACCTATATGACTAAGGGTGGCTATATTCTGAACCACAGAAATCCTGTTTCAACACTCTGAGCAAACTATGCCAGGATGTACTTTTAAGCAGGTATAAAATATTTTTAGTCAGCTTTGCACAGGATTGTCATCCAGCACTCAAAGCGTAAGTGACATATACTGCACTAATTGGCAGGAGATTCTAACTGTAGCAAACTCTCCCTGGGGTTAAGTGTCTTGCTTAAGGGTGTAAAGGAATTTGCAGGTTTGTAATCTCAGTAACTCAGTACTTGCTGGATCATCCTACCTGGGATTGAATCTACAACCTCCACAGGGCATAGTTCTGCCATAGTCACCGAAGGGCACTAAGTTCTCCACTTGTGTAACTCTCTCCCCGGACAGCACGCCAAATACGCATAACCTTTACTCTGTTCATTATATGTAAGTGTGAACTCGTGAAATTGGTAGTTGGGAGTTTGATTGACATGCGGTCAGACCAATCTATGCAGAATTTGCCATTTTGTCCGACAAACAAACATCAGTGGACTTGAACTTGAAAAATATTATGTATTGACGCCTTTCCGTGGTTGAAACAAGATACCTTCTGATGATCATTCTTTTTTATTTTGTGCTATAACTAGTAAACTGGAAGAGATGATCATGAGGCGCAATCTGTCAAGACATATTTAAGAGCCACATAACAATATTTATTGTTTGAATTTCTTTTCTTTTTGACTTTGTTTTATACCTAATGTCAGTTTCCTCTTTGTTCTGCAATGTATTTTTCACTGTGTGAGAACATGATGTGTGGCGTGAGAGCGCCATAGTTTGTTGGACATAGCGACAGTTACTATGGGGGGCCTTTCTTTGCGAAGGGTCAATTGTTTGGCTGTTTTTGTGTGTACTTGCTCAGTGTGAAGCTGCAGTCACACTAAAACTGTGCCCTCCATTGACTTTCATTACAGATGCAAATGCTGAAGTAAACCACAAGCTACTGATAAGCTAGAGGTAAACTGTTTCTCTGTGCTTTTTCTTCAGGTGACTTCTCGTTGGAGTCCGTCCTCACCTTACAAGCACTTCTCAAGCTCTGCAGAATGAACAGGGCATTTAACAGGAGAAAGGGTAAGGGAATAGAGTTGATGTTCCTGCAATGTCAGCTGCCAATATGCCAACAAGCCTGACTGACTGACAAATGTTCATTTGTGCTACAGACTGTTTATATATAAACTTGTTCTGAGTCACAGAATTCAGTTACAGTTAATTTACCTGAAACCAAAGTCATTGAAGAACATGTTGGCCAAATGTTTTTGTATTTGATAGCTAACTATGTTTTTTTTAGCTGCACCATAAGGGACACAGTTCCTAGAGCTCCCTGTAAAAACAGCTACTTCACCTAAAAGAACCTCAGAGAATTTAGTTTCAACACATTTTCTTTGGGAAGTAATGACTTCCAGGCCTGCATTAAAGCTTGCTAAAATGGGACGCACACTTAAGTTTCACCCCAACACATCAGGTTTTCAAAGCTTCATTCCTGGCACTCATTGCTTCTCTTCGTTCCCAACTTCAAACCTCCCCTACCCCCTACACACACACACTTTACCTAATTTGAGCACCACGGACAGACCTGGATTTATAGGTGACACCGGTGAGGCTACTTCCCACCGAAAGTGTGCCTTCTAGGCTAATGTTTTATTAATGGCGGTGACAGAGGAGCCTCTGGACTTGCTGGCGTGGTCACAGCCCACGTTTGGTGAGTTTATCTCCAGCCACAGACACTGCAGTAGTAGGTTGCTTTGAATATTTCATAGCTCTCAATTGGGATTCGCTCGTTGCCTGAAATTATCGTTAAGTCCAAACAGACACTCTTGCACACGATTCTCTTTTTCAGAAGATGATAATGCTGCTTAACGAACTAGAAATTATGTGAGACCTCACATTCATTGACCTTTATAGTCACCAAGGGACAATTTACGGTGTGTAAACAGTTCTGCTGAATGCACAGTGTTAATCACAAAGGTTCAAAAGGAATATTAAAGATTTTAAGCATAAATAGAAATACTGTATGAGTTTGAATGATTCATGCTTCCGCATTACATAACTAATCAGGAACTGTTAAAGAATTTATCCATGTTTACATGAAAAAGTGCACTGCAGTTCAGTCGAAAAGCTACATTTTGACTCATATTCTAGAACAAAACGTGAAGTTTGAAAACTGCAATTCTAAAAACCATTGTAAAAATGAACCCAGAATGTGCTACAGTGCATTCTTAAATTATATGATATTCTGATTATAACAAATATTCTGAAAATTAATTGACTTAAAGGGGTAGCTCACCGAAAAATTAAAATTTTATGTTTATCTGCTTACCCCCAGGGCATCCAAGATGTAGGTGACTTTGTTTCTTCAGTAGAACACAAACAAAGATTTTTAACTCAAACCGTTGCAATCTATCAGTCTTATAATGACAGTCAATGGGCTCCACGGCTTCGAGAGTAAAAAAACATACACAGTAGTGATGCGCGGATGGCGGTTATATCCGCGGGCGCTGCGGATAATCCGCGGATCGGGTGGGTCGGGTAATAAAAAAATGCATTCTGATTACTTGCGGGTGGGTCGCGGGTGGATAAAATAAATCATTAATGATGCAAGTATTAACTACATTTTCTAAATTATGAACGTGTTTTAAATAGGCTACATAAATTGAATAAACTGTAAATTAACATTAAAAGTTATTCAACAAAACATTATTTAGTCAAGAGCAGTAAGTTTTGTTGTTTGATTAACATTAATAAAAGACGGCACAGCTAGGCTGCTGTCACAAGACCTATTTCACGGATCCAATACTGATACTCATGCGTTTTATTTTGCAACTATTTACATTAATTTAAGACAAACCCGACAGTACTTTCTCAATTTGGTACTCGCAGTACGCGCTTTGGATGTGACTGTGAGCGCACGCACCTCTGGAGACCGCGAGTACCGAATGGCTTAAAAAGAAGTGAAAATAAAAAATTTTTGTGATGATGCAACAATGACCGATCAGGCAATTGACAGACTTTTCCAGGTTTTTTATGACCGTACGAACCCTAATGTGATGATCGGGTGTGGTTATCTAAATCAGACAAAAATACAGGTGCGGGCGGTTGACAGGTGGGTAATTTATTTGAAGCTGCGGATTCGGGTGACGTTTTAGCTCATCCGCGCATCACTAATACACAGACAAAACCAAATTAAACCCTGCGGCTCGTGGCGATAAATTGAGGTCTTAAGACACGAAACGATCGGTCTGTGCAAGAAACTGAACAGTATTTATATCATTTTTTACCTCTGATCCACCGTAATGTCTGAGCGCGTTCACAACATCTGGCGCGTGTACGTGCTCTGGCATAGTAGACATAGATATATATATAAGTAGATGCCTCATTAGTGACTGTTTCTATGGGCTGTGATATGTTCCAAAATGGTGGACGCGTCAACGTATCTGGAGCGGTCGAATAGGGCATCTATACATATCTATGATAGTAGACGCATGTGCGGAAGCGATCTGTCGTGCGTATACGTCACTCATTATTTACACAGTGCAGAGAGATTGCGGATGTGTACAGGTCATCACAATGGAAGACAATTTTGATATATCATCAGACAACGTGGAATTTTTTGCCCAACCATATTTATTTGACGTCACGCGCCGGGTGTTGTGAACGCGCTCAGGACAGTTGGACATTGCGGTGGATCAGAGGTAAAAAAAAATATATAAATACTGTTCAATTTCTTGCAGACCGATCGTTTTGTGTCTTAAGACCTCAATGTATCATCACGAGCCAAAGGGTTTAATTTGGTTTTGTCTGTGTATGTTTTTT